GGTTTCTTCTAAACGAGGCGAACCTACAAGAGCCTTGCTTTTAACAATTGTTATATGTCAGTGCGGCATATTATTGGGTATGTGACTGMAAAAATTTAATTTAGAAGTGTTTTAGGATTAACTATATAGTAATTTCTATAAAATATATCTTTTTCAGGTAACGTTGATCTACTGGCACCTTTATTATCTATGTTTTTCCTTATGTGTTACGGATTTGTGAATCTTGCTTGCGCTGTACAAACTTTGTTGCGAACACCAAACTGGAGGCCACGATTCAAATTTTATCACTGGGGATTGTCATTAGTTGGTTTGACTTTGTGCATATCAATAATGTTTATGACATCTTGGTACTTTGCCTTGATTGCGATGGGAATGGCAATAGTTATATATAAATATATTGAATATCGTGGGTAAGTAATGTTCACACTTATGTACGTGTATCAGTACATGCTTCTTATACTCTCGATCCATGTAGCAATATTTTTTTGATCTAATGGTTGTTTCTATCTTTAATCGAATTAACATATACACGTAAATGATCAGGATAACGAGTCGACTTAAAATTCGAGTGACTGTATATCCGTCCGTATTTAAATGAAATTTCGTACTTGAAACCTTAAGAAAATATGTATTGTTTATGGGCAGAACCTGACCAATGTCACAACCAGAAATGCCGTTAAATGAAAATCTATAAAATGCCACAACTAAGGGGATAATATTTTCGGCATCTCCTACGAAAGTAGGAAGTCGGATAATATAACAATTATGTCCATTACCCAAATAAAAGTTATGTTGAATATTTCTAAAAGTGGGATAACTTATTAAATAAATATCCTACATGATACAGAAGGGTCCCATAGGAGCTGGATATCTCAGAATCTAAATCAATAATCGGATGGAGCTCTGAAAATAAAACATTTGCACAAAAATTGTCGAAATCGGACAGTTATTTTTCAAGACCAAAGAAACCGATATTTGAGATATGTATATTTTTGAAATATGGAGGTCATATTTTTCTGATAGTAGGGTGATCTTT